TTCGCCCCTCAGGGGGAGGAGACAAGAAGAGACAGAAAGGAGACAGAAGAGAGACAGAAAGAGACAGAGAGGAGACAGAAAGGAGATAGAAAGGAGAAAGAGACAGAAAGAAGACAAAAAGGAGACAGAAAAAACGGAGACACCGAGGAGACAGAAAGGAGACAGAAACGCGACATAAAGGAGACAAAAAGGAGACAGAAAGGAGACAACGAAGAGACAGCAAGGAGACAAAAAGGAGACAAAAAGGAGACAAAGTCTCCTGCTGCTGCTGGGGTGTACCTGCAGCTCTGCATCGAAGAACAACTCCACGTCGTGCCGATCCACCCCGCAGTTCATTCGTCGAGCTATCTCCATCTGCAGCAGCAGCAGCAGCAGCAGCAACAGCAGCAGCAACAGCAGCAGCAACAGCAATAGCAGCAGCAGAAGCAGCAGCAGCAGCAGCATGAGTTGTTTGGGTGTATGTGCAATTCGATAGCAGCCACTATCGTATGCAGTTACTGATCCACCCTCAAACCCTAAACCCTAAACACTAAACCCTAAACCCTAAACCCTAAACCCTTAAGACTGTTCTATAGGGCTTCAAGGCAAGCTAGGAGACCGCAACCGTACGGAGACACCCCCGCCCTGTAGAGGAGTGCAACACCAGCAGCAGCAGCAGCAGCAGCAGCAGCAACAGCTGCTGCTGCTGCTGCTTCTATTACTCCTTCTGCTACTGCAACACTAGCAGCTACTGCTCCTGTTCCTTCCGCTGCTTCTGCTGCTACTGCTGCTACTGCTGCTACTGCTGCTGCTGCTGCTACTGCTGCTGCTGCTGCTACTGCTGCTACTGCTGCTGCTGCTGCTGCTGCTGTTGTTGCTGCTGCTGTTGCTGCTGCTGTCTTACCCTGAGCTGTTTAACATAGCAGGTGCTGGGGACTCGAACAAGAAAGGGAAATTCCTCTTTTGGAGACTTTTTTATGCAGAGGCACTTTGATTCAGCTACACACAAAAAGGAGACAAAAGGAGACAAAAGGAGACAGTATAAAGAAGACAAAAAGGAGACAGAAGGAGACAAAAAGGAGACAGTATAAAGGAGACAGACAGGAGACAGAAGGAGACAAAAAGGAGACAGTATAAAGGAGACAAAAAGGAGACAAGCGGAGACAGAGGGAGACAGTATAAAGAAAGCAAAAAGGAGACAAAAGGAGACAAAAGGAGACAGTATAAAGGAGACAAAAAGGAGACAGAAAGAGACAAAAGGGAGACGGAATAGAGGAGACAGAGAAGAGACAGAAGGATACGTACAAAAGAAAATATAAGGGAGACAAAAAGGAGACAAATAAAGACAGAAAGAGATAGGTGAAGGGCAGCAAAGAGGAGACAAAAAGGAGACAAAAGGGAGACAAAAAGGAGACAAAAGGGAGACAAAAAGGAGACAAAAAGGAGACAAAAAAGAGACAAGAAGGAGACAAAAAAAGAAGGGGAAAGACGAAAGGAGAGAGGCAAAGGAAGCAAAACGAGACAAAAGGAGACAAAAGGAGACATAAGGAGACACCAAAGAATTAACTACAGAAAGCAGCTGGTGCAGCCGCAAACCCTAAACCCTAAACCCTAAACCCTTGCAGATGCAGCGCGTGTGTGGCGGAGTCATCAGGGGTTAGGGTTTACGGTCTAGGTCTACACCTTAGCGTTTAGGGTTTAGGGTTTACGGTTTAGGGTTTAGGGTTTAGGGTTTAGGGTTTAGGGTCTAGGGTTTAGGGTTTAGGGTTTAGGGTTTAGGGTTTAGGAGACAAACCCTTGACAGCAATAACATTAATATCGAATTTTTGTCTCTTTGATATTTGCGCCTGCATGCGCGACAGCCCCATGGTATTATAAAAAGATAAAAGGCGTTCATCCTCCATCTCTGTCTCTGCGTTCTCTCCATACTTTAAAACCCTATACAACGCAAACCACAAACCCTAAACCCTAAACCCTAAACCCTAAACCCTCGAAAAAATTTGGACATATCCAAACCCTCAAACCCTAGACTATAACCACTTAAAAAAAGCAGAATAAAGAGAAACAAATGTTAATACACCCAAATAAACCCTAAACCCTAAACCCTAAACCCTAGAAACCCTTGAATATATATTTTTTTTTTTTTTTGT